ATTAGAAATTCAGCACAAAGTTTTTTTCTTTCCTTAGTGAGTTTCTTCTTTCTTTGGCTTATCTTCTGTCTTCTTATCATCTTTCTTCTCTTCCTTCTTTACATTCTTCTTTTCTTTGTTTTCTGGTTCTGGAAGAGAAGATTGTGCAGGAACATTGTGCTGTGCCCACATGTTCTTGAACTCTTCAATCTCATCATCACGAATGTTCTTCATTGTCTCGTGTTTCTCAACTTTACCATCTTTGTCAGTAACTTCATGAACTGTGAGAGACTTGTTGCCGACACGCTTTGTATCAACAACTTTGCGGAGACCACTCTTTGAATCAACTTCCTCACGATGTATGTGCTGTATACCATCGGAGCCACTATACATTGATGATGTGAATGAGTAGTATTGTGGAACATCATCATCACTTTCGACGTCATCATCATCAACATTTGAAGATTCCTTGACGTCTTCCTGCTTTACTTCTTCTTTCTTTGGTTTCTCCTCTGTCTTCTTGGAGGAATTCTTCTTATTACTGTTCTTCTTGCAGTGTTTGCATTCAGTATCATATTCAATCATATCATGTTCAACATCACGGCGAGTGAATGCATCATAAAAGTCACCAAATTCTTCTTCCATAGCACGATCTACTGAATCCATCCAACGTGACATGTAATCAAAGACACCAGAGCGCATTGGAGCGAAGCGTCTGTAGTATACAATTGGTTCATCAAACCAGTCAAACATTATCGAAAAATGATTTAGTGTTCAGACAAAATTTCTCTTTTCAAAAAATTGAAAGAATAAATGCCCGAACAAAATTTCTGAGAAGTTTTCCAAAACTGAGAGAAATACGACATTTTCTAAGAAAAATATGAATAAAGAATATATTAATTACATACCATAGATAAATATTTTATACCAATTGTTTCCATTTTTGACATTTTTCTTTGAAATCTAAATTCAAAGATTCAATAAAATAGAAATAACGATAAAAATATGATAATAATTGTAAATTGATATGAATTAAAATATATTTATTCTATTTTCATTATATATTATCATTAATTATTTCAAAATTAAATATCTAATTCTTTATAACTTTATATTAGAATGATAATTATAAAAAAAAGATAAATTTAGAATAAATCATATAGAATCATGTTTACAAACATATTAATATTAAAAGAAGATTAGAAATTCAGCACAAAGTTTTTTTCTTTCCTTAGTGAGTTTCTTCTTTCTTTGGCTTATCTTCTGTCTTCTTATCATCTTTCTTCTCTTCCTTCTTTACATTCTTCTTTTCTTTGTTTTCTGGTTCTGGAAGAGAAGATTGTGCAGGAACATTGTGCTGTGCCCACATGTTCTTGAACTCTTCAATCTCATCATCACGAATGTTCTTCATTGTCGTGTTTCTCAACTTTACCATCTTTGTCAGTAACTTCATGAACTGTGAGAGACTTGTTGCCGACACGCTTTGTATCAACAACTTTGCGGAGACCACTCTTTGAATCAACTTCCTCACGATGTATGTGCTGTATACCATCGGAGCCACTATACATTGATGATGTGAATGAGTAGTATTGTGGAACATCATCATCACTTTCGACGTCATCATCATCAACATTTGAAGATTCCTTGACGTCTTCCTGCTTTACTTCTTCTTTCTTTGGTTTCTCCTCTGTCTTCTTGGAGGAATTCTTCTTATTACTGTTCTTCTTGCAGTGTTTGCATTCAGTATCATATTCAATCATATCATGTTCAACATCACGGCGAGTGAATGCATCATAAAAGTCACCAAATTCTTCTTCCATAGCACGATCTACTGAATCCATCCAACGTGACATGTAATCAAAGACACCAGAGCGCATTGGAGCGAAGCGTCTGTAGTATACAATTGGTTCATCAAACCAGTCAAACATTATCGAAAAATGATTTAGTGTTCAGACAAAATTTCTCTTTTCAAAAAATTGAAAGAATAAATGCCCGAACAAAATTTCTGAGAAGTTTTCCAAAACTGAGAGAAATACGACATTTTCTAAGAAAAATATGAATAAAGAATATATTAATTACATACCATAGATAAATATTTTATACCAATTGTTTCCATTTTTGACATTTTTCTTTGAAATCTAAATTCAAAGATTCAATAAAATAGAAATAACGATAAAAATATGATAATAATTGTAAATTGATATGAATTAAAATATATTTATTCTATTTTCATTATATATTATCATTAATTATTTCAAAATTAAATATCTAATTCTTTATAACTTTATATTAGAATGATAATTATAAAAAAAAGATAAATTTAGAATAAATCATATAGAATCATGTTTACAAACATATTAATATTAAAAGAAGATTAGAAATTCAGCACAAAGTTTTTTTCTTTCCTTAGTGAGTTTCTTCTTTCTTTGGCTTATCTTCTGTCTTCTTATCATCTTTCTTCTCTTCCTTCTTTACATTCTTCTTTTCTTTGTTTTCTGGTTCTGGAAGAGAAGATTGTGCAGGAACATTGTGCTGTGCCCACATGTTCTTGAACTCTTCAATCTCATCATCACGAATGTTCTTCATTGTCTCGTGTTTCTCAACTTTACCATCTTTGTCAGTAACTTCATGAACTGTGAGAGACTTGTTGCCGACACGCTTTGTATCAACAACTTTGCGGAGACCACTCTTTGAATCAACTTCCTCACGATGTATGTGCTGTATACCATCGGAGCCACTATACATTGATGATGTGAATGAGTAGTATTGTGGAACATCATCATCACTTTCGACGTCATCATCATCAACATTTGAAGATTCCTTGACGTCTTCCTGCTTTACTTCTTCTTTCTTTGGTTTCTCCTCTGTCTTCTTGGAGGAATTCTTCTTATTACTGTTCTTCTTGCAGTGTTTGCATTCAGTATCATATTCAATCATATCATGTTCAACATCACGGCGAGTGAATGCATCATAAAAGTCACCAAATTCTTCTTCCATAGCACGATCTACTGAATCCATCCAACGTGACATGTAATCAAAGACACCAGAGCGCATTGGAGCGAAGCGTCTGTAGTATACAATTGGTTCATCAAACCAGTCAAACATTATCGAAAAATGATTTAGTGTTCAGACAAAATTTCTCTTTTCAAAAAATTGAAAGAATAAATGCCCGAACAAAATTTCTGAGAAGTTTTCCAAAACTGAGAGAAATACGACATTTTCTAAGAAAAATATGAATAAAAATATATTAATTACATACCATAGATAAATATTTTATACCAATTGTTTCCATTTTTGACATTTTTCTTTGAAATCTAAATTCAAAGATTCAATAAAATAGAAATAACGATAAAAATATGATAATAATTGTAAATTGATATGAATTAAAATATATTTATTCTATTTTCATTATATATTATCATTAATTATTTCAAAATTAAATATCTAATTCTTTATAACTTTATATTAGAATGATAATTATAAAAAAAAGATAAATTTAGAATAAATCATATAGAATCATGTTTACAAACATATTAATATTAAAAGAAGATTAGAAATTCAGCACAAAGTTTTTTTCTTTCCTTAGTGAGTTTCTTCTTCTTGGCTTATCTTCTTCTTCTTATCATCTTTCTTCTCTTCCTTCTTTACATTCTTCTTTTCTTTGTTTTCTGGTTCTGGAAGAGAAGATTGTGCAGGAACATTGTGCTGTGCCCACATGTTCTTGAACTCTTCAATCTCATCATCACGAATGTTCTTCATTGTCTCGTGTTTCTCAACTTTACCATCTTGTCAGTAACTTCATGAACTGTGAGAGACTTGTTGCCGACACGCTTTGTATCAACAACTTTGCGGAGACCACTCTTTGAATCAACTTCCTCACGATGTATGTGCTGTATACCATCGGAGCCACTATACATTGATGATGTGAATGAGTAGTATTGTGGAACATCATCATCACTTTCGACGTCATCATCATCAACATTTGAAGATTCCTTGACGTCTTCCTGCTTTACTTCTTCTTTCTTTGGTTTCTCCTCTGTCTTCTTGGAGGAAATTCTTCTTATTACTGTCTTCTTGCAGTGTGTTTGCATTCAGTATCATATTCAATCATATCATGTTCAACATCAGCGAGCGAAATGCATCATAAAAGTCACCACCAAATTCTTCTTCCATAGCACGATCTACTGAATCCATCAACGTGACATGTAATCAAGACACCAGAGCGCATTGGAGCGAAGCGTCTGTAGTATACAATTGGTTCATCAAACCAGTCAAACATTATCGAAAAATGATTTAGTGTTCAGACAAAATTTCTCTTTTCAAAAAATTGAAAGAATAAATGCCCGAACAAAATTTCTGAGAAGTTTTCCAAAACTGAGAGAAATACGACATTTTCTAAGAAAAATATGAATAAAGAATATATTAATTACATACCATAGATAAATATTTTATACCAATTGTTTCCATTTTTGACATTTTTCTTTGAAATCTAAATTCAAAGATTCAATAAAATAGAAATAACGATAAAAATATGATATTATTCCCTATATCCCAAAACAACTTCATATTATTCTATTAATCTACTTCTCTAATCCCGAATACTTAAATATCATATTTAATTTATTCTGTTTTCCTCTCATTTCCTTTAAATATTCATTGTATACGAATATTAATTGACATACGTTGTATTAAATTACAACATTTTCAACTAATATTATAATGAATTTCATTGTTGTTTTCATCCATTTTACTATTAATTCATATATTTAAGATTTTAATGTGTTCATACCACTTGTACATTAATTCGCTATAATGATCTCTCATAATTCCCTATTCTTTCTCTAAACAATTATTATGACGTGGTATATTCAACAATTGAATAAACTCATAGAAAAAAATTGAGAAGCGACGCGCTAAATAATAAACAAACACGACGCAAATCGTGTTAAAATCGATATTTGATCTATTTCCTATATTTTTTATTTTTAGCTCATACGATAAAAATTTTTTCTTTCATTATAATGGCAAGTTATCTTTCGTATTTTGACATATTCGATAAGACAAAGGATAAAGAACTCGTCATTTCTGATAAGTTTAGCTTCATTCTTTCAGATATTGTCTCTGTTTTTACCGCTTTTCTTCTTCTTGCAAATATTATTATCATATTATCTCCAAAAATTCATAGAGATTTAGCCCCTTTGCAAAGTATAAGATCAGGTGATTCATTGGTCAACATTTCACTAGGTATTCTCGTTGATTTACCTTGTTATTATTTGCATTTCGACTTAACAGACAGTTTAGGCTTTACCCAGAACTACGTAAATAATACTCTTAGATTTTACAGGTATGATTTCAACTACTCTCTTATTGGTTTGACCAATCAAACAATGGTAGATAAATGTTATCCTTGTTTCAAAGTCCAGTTTCATAATTACACATGCTGCAATGGATGTGATAGATTAAAAGAAAATTACAAGTTGAATAATTTAACACCAGAACCAGAAAAATGGCCGCAATGTCAAACAAACGCTCGACCAGACATAAATTCATCCGAAAAATGCCTAGTTAAAGGCAAAGTATCAGTTAACAGAGTACGTGGTTCTTTCCATATTGCTGCTGGAAGAAATATTTACTTAAATGATGGATCTCATATTCATGAACTCTTAGATGACTTCCCGAACCTTGCTTTCAGTCATGCTATTGAACATATACGTTTTGGCCCAAGAATAATTACTGCAAAGCAACCTTTGCAAAATTTAGTTATGAGAGCTAAAGAAAACTTAACAGTTACTCACGATTACTCACTATTAGTTACTCCAGTCATATTTGTTGCTGATAATCAATTTATCGAGAAAAGTTTCGAATATACAGTTTATTTGCATCCAGTTCAAGACAAAGATCCTGGTATCTACTTTGACTATCAGTTTACCCCATATACCATTCAAATTACATGGATTTCAAGAAGTTTCAGAGGATTTTTGATTTCAACTGCTGGATTTACTGCCGGATTGTATGCAATTGCATCAATTATTGATCAGCTCTTCCACTCTTTCTTCCCTCCAAAGGCAAATACAACAAAATAGGTGTGTTCTGTTCAAATCTCTTGAAATTTGCAAATTATTTCATAATTTTTTGTAGTTATAAACATATTATTACTCCTTCTCACTATTATAATTTCTTTAATGATATGCCTTTTATTATTTGATGCTTAATTACTTCTCAATAGATCAAATTAAAAATTGGCAATATATTTTACGATAGGTATAGATAGATTTTTTGAATAAAACTTATTTTATTATGTTTTAAATATGTTGTTTCCTTCCATTCAGTAAGTTTCTCCAAATTGATATTGTATTTTATCCAATGGTGTTGCAATCATATATACAAATCAATAATATAAAAAATCGTATGATGTGAAATATGCTAGGTATGTATTATTCACAGGAGAAAAAAATTTGAAAATTTAATTTCAAAAATTTCAATAATTTTAAGTTGCTTATTATGGTGTGTAGTAATGTCTTATGTATTAAGCTAGTTGTGAATTAATAGATAGCAAATTAATCATATAACTCATTAATTGTTGTGAAGACAGGGAAAAATGGGTTTCCTCTATGAACGTTTATCTTTTACTTGATAAATGTGTTGATGTTTTGGTAAATTCACGTTTTAAGAGAACGAATAACATAAATTTCACAAAAATTCTATGAGTAACCGTGGAATTCAAAAATTCAGATAAAATATGGTCAATATGTCAGATTGTAATGGTATTTTATATACATAAATCAATGGTTACTAATGTATAATGTTTTTAATGATTTCTATGATTAAAGTTGTTTGAATAAAAATTATTGAAACAAAAATTTGATCAGAATTGATATTTGTTATTGAACACAGATGTTGCCATAAGGATACTAAATGATTTATGGCGAAAATGATGATTGAATCAATCATGTAAATGAAAAATTATCTTGAATTAGTTGAAAGATTGTTAATTTTGCGTTGAATAGAATTTCCTTCTATATAATAGAATATATGTTTAAGAATTTTAGATGATTACGCATAAAATGGATGAGGTAAAGGGTTAGATTTTTGAACTTTTTTGAATAGTTTACAATCCGATAAAGCATAATGAGCCAGCAAAAAATTCATGTCTGTTTGGTTAAATCTTGTGTATGGTATACAAAAACAATAAAATAACAATCAAAATGTCCTGAAACATCAATAAATGTAATCAATGAACAAGTTTCTTTTCAAATGGTTCAATGATAAAATCGAGTTAATTAAATAATGTCAATAGATGGTGCTGTGCTAAGTATTTTCAACTAAGGAGATCAATTGATTTTTGATGTTATTTTTTATGATAAAATTTTCAAAGAGCTTGGACCTAATTGCTCTCAAAATTGAGATGGGAGTTTTACTCTCAATTTCTCAAAAAAATAAAAATTTTTGAGATCATATTAGGTCATTAATTTAAATGAACTGGGACCTTGTATATAGGGCAAATATCCATTCCTTTGAATTCAGAGCAAAATCATAAAAATTTTCAGATAAAAATTTCTAAAATTTTAATTTTGGGTGCAATTAATAGAATATAATAGCGTTCTTTATGTTAACGATTAAATTTGAATTCAAACGCTAAGAATTTCAATCAGTAATCAATTAATAATTTGTTCACAAAAAATTGAATAGTTGCTAAATTTAAATCATTTTATTTAGTGTCTATCAATGCCACATGCCCCATACTGCTACGTTCCGGAAGAACCATATCCATTCCAGCAATGCTCTGAACTTAAGACTAAGTCTGTATACTTCAATGCCGAAGATGAAATCGAAACTCCTCAAAACATCTACTCATCATTTTATGAGGAAGAAAGTTCTGAATCAAGCTACGTAAGTAACTATAACCCATATGAGGATTCTTGAGAATACAGCCAAATTGAGTGCGATTACATCCTTCCAACCCCAGACATTCTGCTTCTCACATCTCGTTCTAACATGCCTGCACCAGGTGAAGAAATGAATTCAAAGTTCACATATACTCTTAAGAATGGTAAGGTTCTTGAGCTTGAAAATCCTCTCCCATCCTGCTTACCAATTGAGATTCTCTGTGGCGAGGAGGAACCAGAGGAAATAGAAGAGCCTTCTTATCCATCTGATAATGCCCTTTATGTCACATCGGCTGTTTGCCCGATCGCTGGATACATTGCAGCTTTGTTATTACGATCAAAGAGGCCTCAACTTGCTAGAAGATTGAGAACTATCAGTCATGCTTCATTGACTGTTTTAGGGTCTATCCTAATGATTCTCTTGCTATAGACTTAATAAACTGTTTGTTTTTGCGTTTAAATTATATGATCTTTTATATACTTCTTTTACGAACGTTCATATATTAACAAAAAACAATATTTGAATCAAATCACAAATACTACCCTCCTTTAATATAATGTTAGCTTTAATTATTTTAATTTTATAATTTAACTTAAATGTGGAAGGATTAATGGATCCATCTCAAAAACATTGTTTTGCCAGATAAAAATCGATCTGTTATTTTTTGGATAAATAGGATCAGATTTAATACCGAATTAAAATCTTTAATTTATCCTTAGCAAAATATGGCAATATCGTACAATGTGAAATAATATCGAATTGCAGAATTAAAAATCATCAATTGATAGTTTAGAATTTAAAAATTGCATCTTATTTTTCAAATCGCTTGTATATAGTACAAATTAACTTCTAATAAAACATTTGCAAATACCCTATCTCAAATTTTGAACATATTTAAATGTTTGATTGAATCAGATTAATTTTGACAATATGCTTTATTTTATTGGTAAACATTCATATAAATGATATGACTCTAACATTATAAAACTGTTTGGGGAAAAATTGTATTTTTTTTCAAAATCTAATATTTAATCAAATATCCCTACTAACAATATTAAGTAAAGAATCTAATAATATTAAACTTGAGGAGTAGCTTCATCTTCTTTGTTACTTTCATCTTTTGTGCTGTCAACTTGATCTGACTTTTGATCATTTTCTTCTGTGTTATTATCTGATTTGATAAATTTATAGAATGTGGGAGAAGCAGTTGCAAGGCAACACAAAGCTGCACAAATATCATTCACTGGATAAGCATATAAAAGAGTGATTGGCGATTCTTTTTCAGCTAAATAATGGAATAGACTTCCAAAAATTGGGAGTCCCAATAACTCTGTTAATATACTGAGTATCATTGCTTTCATTGTCTGTTGAGTAGATTGGAGGAATGATATCATAATAAACTTGACACATGCGCAAGAGTATGTCCAGAAGCATTTTGGAATCATTCTTTTTGACCAATAAATGAACTCATCATCTTTGCTAAAAATTAAAGCAATCTTGTCTGGGAAAACAGATGTGATGAAAGTAATTAAGAATCCCCAGACGCATGAAATCCAAATAACATGCCAAGTCAGCCATAATATTCTCTTGTTTTCCTTCTTTCCAAATGCATATGCAGCTGAAGGTAAGTAGGAAGCATTCATTGCAAGAGGAACGAAGAAAGAAAGTCCATAAATTCTGAAGAGTGTGTTGTAAACTGCAATGACAGTTTCATATTTGCCTACTCTTTTGGCTCTGATTGACAAGTATTTTTGCATAACAAATGTTGGGACAACGAATGATATATTCATAATGAATGTTGCAAGTCCTGTTTTGACTGCCATCCATGTTTCTGGTGCAAACTTTTGGAAAAACATCTTGAGAGTTGGTTTTGCGGCAAATTTCTTGCAGAAGAGTAATGAAATGAGAACAGATGCTGGAATTAACATAGCTAATTCTGTAGCTAGTGATGAACCAACTGTTCTCTTGAGAAGATAAAGAAGAAGTGGATCAAATAATACCATATTGCAAATCATTGACACCATTTGAGCACCACCATATGTCCATGTTCTTCCTTCTGCTTGTAAAACACCGCAAATGCAATGATAACAGCATGTAATCAAATTCATTGCGCATAGAGGAATAACGTAATCAAAAGCGAGCTTTTGAATGTTATCTGGAGCTTGCAAAAATCTGAAAATTGGTTTTGCCAATGGAAGAAGTATTGCAGGAACAATTAATGCAAAGATTAGGCACAACATGAACAGATCAGCAGTAACTTGATTTACTTTTTCATAATTTTTGGTTGAAAGAAGATAAGCAAGTATTGTTGCAGCTCCAACTGAGACGAAGAAGCCAAAAGCAAGTGCTGATGCATCAATAATATATGCAATTGATAATGCAGCTAAACCGATTTCTCCGATGAACTTTGAAACCCACATTGAATCGATAACTCCATATAGTGCATTAACGATTTGAGAGATCAGAGGTCCTGGACATAATCTTATAATTGTTAATAATGGAGTGTATCCACCAAGTTTTCATATGCTTATATCAAATATCAATATCAAAATAATTTTAAAATTGATATTCCATAATGATCTTTATTGAACTATATTCAATTGTTCTAATTTAGGTGCTAGAGAAAAATCTTATAACACAGAAGAAATCATGAATATTATTTAAAAAAAAATGAAATACATGGAATAAATTCTAATATCAAAAGAACCATGGTAACACATGCAGAAATAGCATTGATCAATTCGTCAAGAATCAAAATTCATTCATAAATAGAACAATATTCAGTATTGAATTTTAAAAGATGATATTAATCAAATGTTTGATGCAGTAATGCATTCTAATGTTTTATCAAATATAATGATAGGAGCAATGGTACCATATCTTTTCTTAATCAAATTCAATGTTCAAAGAAATGCTATATATATATATGCATATTATATGTGTATTGGGTAGGGAATCATCTAAGAATATAATTCTTTAAAAGTTTATTAAATATTTTTTTGAAATTGATATTTTGACGAAATTTTCTTAGAACAAAATTCTTTTAAGATTGCAGTGTAAGAATTTTTAGGAATTAGATTTTGTATTTCAAATTTATTTTAAACGTACAAATAAAAAGTGCCAAAAAATGAACATTTGACTTAAATATTTTTGAATATGAATGTAATGATTTATTCGAATGCACATTTCGTGGAGATAAAATGGTTGGTACAGTTGCACGGAATGCGAGTATTACAAAAGCTATTATCGAGGGTGAAATTAAAGAAATTCCACCATTTTACTTTTATGGATGTGAATCATTGACCAATGTTACAATATTGGCCAATGTTAAATCCATAGGTGATTCTTCGTTTCACAGTTGTAACAAATTACAATTTCTTCAAATTCCGGATTCGTGCGAAGTTTTGAATGGTAGATGCTTTTATAGCTGTGATAGATTATCTAATCTTAATTTTCCTAAAAATCTTGCAGAATTAAGATTTAGTGCTTTTTGTTTCACTAATTTATCACATATATCTTTGGAGAAAAATGTAAAATTAATTGAAAGCAATGCGTTTGGATCCATTTTAAATTTGAAATCAATCAAAATCGGCAATGCTGATAATTTATTCATTGATGAAAACGCTTTTCAAGATAGTTTGTATTTAGAAAAAATTGAAATTGAAAATGTATTTTCTTTGAATATTATAAGTAGAAATATTTTAACAGAAATAAAATTCATAGTTCCTGTATTTAAAATGAAAAATTGGATATCAATTCCCTGCTCAATTATAAATGCTACATTTAATCCAAATATGATGTTTATTCCATCTTACTTATATTATCAAAATAGTAATATTACTGAAATTGCTGATAATGAAGTTATTTTTGAAAATTCTTCAAGATTTTCACTCCAACAAAATTATGAAACAATAGAAGAATATGCATTTTATCAATGTATTAACTTGTATAGTGTGAAATTCCCGAATTCATTGAAAATCATAAAAAACAATGCATTTTATGGATGTACATCCCTCAAAGAAGTTTCTTTCCCACAGAATTTTGAAGTGCTAGAACATGATTCATTCTCTGGAATTCCCTCATTATCATTCTTGAATTTATCAAACACGATGAAATTTATTGGAAGAATTGATACATTTCGAGATAATTTAATTGATTTTTCAACAACCGATGAATATGATGGAAACCTGAGACCAATGATGTTTTCTGATTCTCAACAAGAACAATACTCTTTCGATGGAAATGTTAAAGAGATTCCATTCTTCTCATTTATTAATTCAAGCATTAAAAACGTAATTCTCAATGATAAAATCGAAATTATTCATCATATTGTTTTGCATATAGCAAGTTAGAGAGAATTAATTTGATAAAAGTCAAGAACATATCATGTTGTGCATTCACTTGTTGTTCAGAATTGAGAGAAGTTATTTTCTCAAACAATATTGAATATATCGAAAGTTATTCATTTTATGAATGTCCAAATCTTCAGATTATTATTGATTCATCCACCGGAATTATCACTGTTGGAGAATATGCATTCTATTCATGCACCAATCTCAATTATAGTGATATTGTGCAACATATGGAATTTGTTCCATTATATTGTTTTTCTAAATGCCAAGGAACTGAAAACTTAATAATACCATCAATATGCAAAATTATTCATCAAAGAGCATTTTCAGAATCAGGTTTATTGACATTAGAAGCAATGGGGGTAATTGAGTTTGGAGTTCTCTCATTTGAAAAAAGTGATTTATTAAGAACAGCAATTTTGTACGGAAATATTAAAAGAATTGGAGGTGGTGCATTCTATTATTGCAGAAACTTGAGAACTTTTATTGTTCATGGCACTGTTTCATATTTTGAAGATTATTGTTTGTTTGACACCTATTCTTTATCAAGTCTTCAAATCCCGGCAGATTCATATATTTCTGAGAATGCCTTAAGTGATAATTATTTAACATTTCTAGAACTTGGAAAAAATTGCACGATCTACAATTTTCCAAGAAATATACACTTTTTATCAATATATGATAGAATTAACATAATTGACATGACATATACTCAATATGTTTCATTTTATTTATACTATCAGGGAAAAACGAATTATTTAGATCCATCAATTTATCAGATATTAAAGATTGAAGATTCTCAAACTATATATGTTTTGTGCAACTATGAAAATAACTATTTCTTCAATAAGAATGTAACAAGAATAAAATATTCTAAATTCCAAGAAATAGCAAAGCATGATGATCGGTCTTCAGACCCTTTTTCAGAGGTAAAAAATCAATGCGATTCACATAAGACTTTTGTAAATCATTATCAACAGAGGCTATTTTCATCAACAAAATGTTCATTATTATCACTTTCGCCAGCTCTTTTTAGAGTAAAAACTTAAATTTTATGCAACAGTTGTTTATTGAATCTAAAACTAATTAGTTTTTTTTAACTGAATATATTAACTTTTGAATCAATTAGTGGCAGATGCGTTCTTAAAGCTCATCCGATTTCACATTAGAGTATAAGTACCAAATGCTATAATATATTCCATCCACAACTTTAAATTAAAGCGAAAATGAAACTCCTAATTCTCCATCGATCATAATTGAGAAGATATATGCATGATGACTAAAACATTTTAGTGATCATTGGAATGTTTTGAGAACAACTCATAGAATTGTCTCAAATTATAAAAATCGGAAATAAGTGATTATTCATTATTAGTATAATGTGCATTCCATAGATTTACGACTTTATGTATGATTTGAATTTCAATCAAAATCATACATAAAGTTGGGAACTTTATAGAGTTGCTCACAAGATGTAGTTGTCATTATTCGGATTGTGAAGTGTTGGTAAACCTTTTGAATCCAAGTTCAAAAAAATAGCAATTAATATGCCATTTTGTTGGAGGATTAATTATTTCAATGGATCCACGAAATCATGGCAATTTAACATTCTAAATCTGTAAATAAACATTTATGATTGATATAATTTTTAACATCGCTTTTTAAATTCAATTGAATTTCTTTTACTTTCCAAAAACATTAAGAAAAGACTTAAATATTCATGAAATATATAGTACTTATATCATTAAAAATTATTATGTAAAAATTAAATACCAAAAAAAGTTTTATTCAGCATTAAGTTTCACATCCACGGCTCCACCGATAGGCAATGGTCCACCATATTGGTTCCATAATTTGTCAGCGGTTTCCTTAACTTCTTGTAAAGGTGATAAATCGAATTGGAATTCTTCAGCTTTCTTGAATAAAATGCGAATGACTTCGAGCTGGAATGGGATTATTTTTTAAAGCTATTTATTTTTTGAACTTTTATTCAATCTTTGTCGCAGAAGAATTGCATGTAAATAAAACATTTTTAATCAATAGTCAATTTTATTTTTTTCATATTCAAATGGACTGGCGTGTTAACATATTAAACATTTTTTTGCTAATTTGTCGTCAAAATTAGCGTAAAGCAAAATGATTTCATACTTGGTTTTATGCATAGATAAGCATTATATTCCCACGCATTATATCGTAAATTTGAGTTTACCTTCGCTTTTAAGATTCACTTGAATTGATTTTATATAAAATAGTTATATATTAGAAAATAATATTGAGTTTATGTGATATTATTTTTCAAAGATTTCAATTCTATATCCTTATGAAAGTACTCTCAAACATAAAACTTTTTCCTAATATAATTAAATTCAAAAAAAAAAAAAAAAAAAAAAAAACAGTAGTGGGGCTTCAGGACTTCGTGCATTCTAGCCATAGAAATTTTTGTTAGATTAAATTAAAATTTTTATTCCTGAAATGTTTGCTTTAATGTTTTTTTATGAGATGGAATGAACTGGAATTCGTCTGAGTCTTCGCTTGTTTCTCTCTTTCTTCTTCTTTCGTCCGAATTTGTTTCATCTTCACAATAACCAGATAAGAAGATGTTATTTTGTTTGTTCTGGTTTTTGAGAAGCATTTTGGCTTTGCCAGTAAAACGAACTTCAAAGATTTTAGATAGAATTTGTCTGCTTGAGTGAGTTTGAAATTGCTAACTGTAAGTGGCATTTGCAACTCGGTTTGCTTGAACAATATTATTGAAAATCTTCTTCTCCATTCTGGTATCCGTTCAGGAATATCTAAAGCGGCTGTTGTGATAATTGCATATTGTTTTCGTAATGCAATTTTGGATATATTTCGAATGGCATGTTGCAGCTAACACCAGCTGGAGGCAACATGGAAAGATTCCATGAGAAAGAACGTGTGTTTTCATCTTCTTCAATGTTAGTTAAAGGATAAGGGCGGAAAGGTCTTGGTGTTTCATATAGCTGTCTCTTAAGTTTGGTTCACAGCAAGAATGAATTCGTCAATTGCTTGAAGAGATATCATAGTTGGAAACATAGGCAAATTCGACAAGAAAAAGTCACCATTACTGTCGGTTTTGACTTTGTTTTCTAATGTTTCCGACTGGTTTTAATATATACTTTTGAAATTCTTCCATAGTCATTGTTGTCTGTTAAGGAACAAATTGTTTTGGATAATCTTGCAATGAGTCTGTTCTATATCTTGCTTCTGTTGTTGAGATTGAGAAGACACCTTCTGGTTCATGTAGGAGTGTTAGTTTTGGTTTGAATTTGAGCCTTTCAATTTGTGTACTGATTGGAGTCTGATTGGACTGAAACAACTTGAGCTTCTGTAGTTTGTTCGACTTCGGCGTTTCTTTTGGATGAATTTGCAGCTCAATTTGTGCTCTGATTGGAGTCTAGATTTGGACTTGAAACAACTTGAGCTTCTGTAGTTTGTTCGAACATTCGGCATTTTCTTTTTGTTGATTTGAGCTTCAATTTGTGTCTGATTGGGGTTCTGATTGGACGAAACCTGTTAACCTCTTTGACATTACTATGTTAAATTATGACGATATTAAGTTTTGACCTTTAAAGAGCTTTTGTAAAGAATTGTTCAGTCATGCTAACTACTGTGTCTTCCACTTTAGATAAAAATGCAATGTTTATTTCGACTACTCATAGAAAAGTTTAAAATAAACCGTTTTCGTCAACGGAGACCCCCTCTATTTTTTTTATTTTATTTAATAGTTACCGTTTGGCAAACCGTTCCAAATTCTCAAATATTGACATGAACTATAAACGTTTTTTTGTTTTCTATTTATCTTTTTTGTCCCAACGGTTAAAACTTTTTACACAACGGTTTTTGAGAGTCGTACGCCGTTGACTTTTTGTCAGAGCACTCAAATAGTATAACTTTGTCCGGACAAAGTAAGGGTCTATCGTCGCTACAGGAAAGTTTTACGGGCGTTCAAGGAAGTATTTACTTTGGAGAAGCCTATTTCCCTTTAATAGAATGAGATAGGACGGTTATTTTACAAAACCGAAACATTTGACGAGTTAGTTTTTGTGTTGAACAAGTATATTAGAACATTGCTCAAACGCTTTTAACTTATTAAAATGCCAGCGTTAAGGCCTACGTAAGAACTAATAACGTAAGAAGGAAGCATTTCATCCAATAGTAAAACTGACACCACAACAAACAGTTGCAACAACAAATGTTTGAATGACCCCACTATGTTGCAACAAATGTCAAGCAATCCTATGCTTTAACCCGGAGTTGTTGGTGACGAAGTGGAGGTTAAGAGCGCACTTTTTTAGCGAATAAATAGCAGGCTATGGTGGAGCTCAGACGGAACAAGCTATAACCTCAAAGTCAATGAATTTGAGTTCACTCAAAAATCAAATATTCAGATGTCAAAAAGTCAACATAGGACATACAGAAGCAAATAAGTGAAAACGAAAGAAACTAGAATATGGACAGACACACAAAAAGAAACTCAATGAGTTAAACGTAGAGACAAAAGAAGAAAGAGAGGAACAACTGAAAAGAACAAGTACAGAGGGAATATTGGCGAAAAAAAGTGTCAGAAAAAGCAGAAGTAGCAAAAAATGGAACAAGATGTTGATTAAAATTTGAAAACATACTACTCAATATAAAGTACTGAAAGAGAAGAAATAAAACAAAAAGCTCTGAAGACATATTAGATAGCGATGAGATATAAAAAAGAAGTTGAAGCACATTGTAAGGCAGAAAAACTTTATACAAGTTTGCAAAAACCCAGAACCAGTTTACAGTATTAAAACTAGCACAAGAAGTAAAGAATAACGACGCAGCATGCACAAAGGCAATGAAAAGCGCAGAATATATAAAAGCTAACATGACTGGTTAGATGCCAAGACCAACCTAAGCAGGGGCCCAGGCTTATAGGGATCATACAGGACAAAAATTTACAAGCGGATGAGGCCAGTTCAATGAAGCCTTTAACAAATTGCTGACTTTAAGAACGCCTTCGAAGCTCTTTCATAGTAAGGTGAACAATTTGAAGCGACTTCTCATCTGGAAAGGAAACTGAAGTTGAAGGTTTCGACAAAGAGTTTAAAAAGAGTGCACAAATATGACGAAATAACAGATGCAGCAAACCGAGACAGGCAGTTCAAGTGCCTATGACGCGTCATAGAT